TGAAGGAATTGATATTTATGCGGGAGCATTAAACACAGTACTAAACATTTATTTCCAATTACATTCAAAAGGAATTAAAATTACAGAAAACGGAAAAGTTAATAATAATGGTGTTCTTGCATTTTTTACAGAATTAGCACAACACGAACAAAGACTAATAGAGAGTCAAATGAAAACTAGAAGAGGTTCTGCTCAACCAATTTGTGGTTTTATTAATATTGATACAAATAAAATAATTAAATTAGGACAGTCAGGATACAAAGAACGTTATGTTCAAACATATTTTATGAATAAAGAAGAATATATTAAAGATAGTGTTAAAAGTTATTTAGAAGGAATGAATTGGGTCTTTAATTATTACTGTGGTAATGCTTTTTCATGGAAATGGGGTTATAAATGTCATTATGCACCATTATTGTGTCATTTCGTTGACTATTTTCAACCAGTAGAATTTACTACAATAGCAGAAGATGATGGTCCAATTCATCCTATAGAACAACTCATTGCTGTTTTACCTCCTAAAAGCATTCATCTTATACCAAAACAACTTCAAGAAATATATAACCTTCCAGAATTCAAAAAAACTATTCCAGAACAAGTGATTATTGATGCACATGGACAAGATGTCTCTTATAAAGGAATAGCATTAGTTGGATTCCCAGATATATCTCTTATTCATCAATATGTAGAAAGCCATATCAAAGAATTAAATAAACTTGAAGTAATAAGAAATCAACTTTCTCAAGAAGTATTGTTTGTTTATAATAAAATACCAAATTTCAGTACAATTATACAACCTACAACAATTGACATTAAACATAATGAAATAAAAGGAATCTTAAAAGAAATGAAATATTCTTTGCATTCATTTTACTATCCAGTTCAACATGGAGTAACAAAAGAATTACAAAATGATTTGATATTTGGGTATTATTTTATTCATTCGCTTCAATAATTAGTTGGTTGATGATTAATTTACATTATTAACTGGTTTTTCATATCTTGGATTTTTCCTTCTAAAAAAAAGTTAAACAAAAAATTTAAACTCAAAGTGATTTTGAGCTACTTAATGGAATCTTTAAAACTTTTGTTTCAATTATGCCACGTTATGCTTTCGTTAAATTGAATCTTAAAAAATAAAAATATATTCAAAAAGAAGATGTCTGTGGAAATTGAATACTGCTCTACTGTGAATACTAAAGAAGAAATTATTAAGAAAAGTGAAGAGTTAAAAGAATGGATTGACAAGGCTATTAATGAAAAATGGAATCCTTTATCTTATAATAACCCAGAAATTACTTTAGTAGACCAACCACAACAAGAATATAAACACCTTGTAATGAGCAGTTGTACTATTAATGCTAATATTGAGAAAGTATATAATTTCCTTATTCACTCTACTTTTGAAGAACAAAAGAAATATGATACTGATCTTCTTGAATTTGAACGTGATCAACGTTTTGAAGATGAAGGATGTGAAATAGCACGTGTATGCTATAAAGCACCATGGCCAGTAACTGCTCGTGAATTTGTTGGAGTTCAAAATTGGTTCCAAAGAGATGGAAAGTATTATCTTCTTCAAGAATCAGTAAATTATCCAGCTAAATGGACAACACCAAATAAGAATTATGTTCGTGGTTATAAGAAGAGTGGATTAGTTTTAAAACCACTTGGTGATAATAAAATTGAAGTTCATAGAGTTGTAGTTATTGATGCACGTGGATCAATTCCTGGATGGTTAGCAGGAACTGCTAAAAAAGATGATGCTGGACGTTTGTTTGAGATGAAAAAGTATTTTGAAGCTAATTTTGCTTAGAACTTAAAACATACTTTTTACAATAAAAAGAAACTTTTTTTTTTGTTAATGTTTTTTTTTATTTTTTTAAAACTATAAAAAAACCTATTGAAAAAAAATATCTAAAAAAGAATAGGAAATACTATTGTGTGAATGAAACCATCTCAATTGGTACAGCCAACCGCATCATACGGCTCTAGCTATCAATATAATTTATTGTTAGATAAATGTAAAAATATTAATGATATAGTTACTGGAGATATATTAACAAATGTAATTGAACTTGTTCAACAGCTTAACTGTATTATTAGTGAACAAAAACATTACCAAATTGCCGTAGAGAAATGGTTGGCACGGTGCCTTCCTTTTGAGAATGAAAAAGAGATTTATGAATTTGTTAAAGAATTTAAAATCTCATCAACAATTGAACACAATATGTTAACTAAACTTAATTCAAGTAAATGGAATAATATTAGAAAGAAAGGAAATCAAAATGTATTCATTCCTAAAGCACAAGTAACAAGGTCAGTAACTGATTCATTAGAAAAACAAAGAATGGGTTCAAATATAAACTTTTCTGATGAAAGTCCACAACTTCCAAATGAAGCATATATTCCTTCAAGAAGTGCTGATAATTGTATAGAACCACAAAAAGAAGTTAGTCTTCAATTAAATGCAAAAAGTTTTGTTCCAAAGAGAAAGAAACAACAAATAGAATTTGAAAGTGCTGATGTCATTGCTGATTTTCTTGGAGAAGAAGTTAATAATGAACCAATTAAAACTGGTCCTAAAGAAGAACAACAAACAAAACAAGTTTCTATTAAATATTCGTTAGGTAGTAAATCATTTGTTCAAAGAAATAAAGTAAATGTTCCACAATCATCAAGAAGTCCATCATCATTTAATTTTTATAGTAAGAAATTTATACCAACAACAAAAAGAAAACAAATGACTATTCAACCAGATTCTGTAGCACAAGAATTTATTAATTCTCATATTAATGAATTAAAAGAAGTTCTTCATTGTGACCAAATGAATTTAATTTATAATGGAACTAATTTCCTTGGACTTGAAAAGATTATTGATTTAGAAGATATTGTTATTGTCTTTATTACAGAAAGTGATAGTTTTGGATTCCAAATAAGTGGTTCTAAAAAAATAACACCATTTATTCTTCAAAACCCATTTGATCTTATTCCTGTTAGATTTGATCCTAAAGTAGAAATGAACTTTAATATTGAACTTAATACAAAACATGAAATAATGGAAGTTTGGCATTTTATCCGATTAACAGGAACAACAGCATTTATTTCTGATGATTTTAATGAATTTTATAATGATCCAACAGAAATTGGGTCTGATGTTTTTACAGGAAGTCATCAACCAGATACTTTTAATGTATCTCATTTCCTTGCATTTTCAACTATTTAAAAACATCAACAATTTCATAATGAAATCAATTCTTTTATTCTTTTAGTTTTATATTATTTTAAAAGATATTTTAGGAATAACTAAAGTAAAAGAAGAAATTTGATTGAATCTAATATTCATCATATTCTACAAAATTGTTTAAATTCTTTGGATCAAGAATATCCAAATGTTCTTGAAGTACTGCAGCTGCATATCCAGTTCTTCCCATTCCTAATGAACAACGATAATCATAAGCCATTTGAAATGATTCTAAAGCTTTAGTTTTACAATATTCATATAAGTCTGGCATAATTTTAGAATATTTCATTAAAGCAACTCCATATTGTTCTAATACAGCAGCAAATACTCTTCCATGACTAAATTGAACTTGATATTTTGCTACTGGAATTAAATATTGTTCAAATATTTCTAAAGGATTAGGACAAGATTTTAAAGAAACATATTTTCTCATTGCTTTAAATAAGAAAAGATGAGTGTCATGCATTTTTCTTAATGGATTATAATATGCTTTATGTCGTTTTAATTTTTCCATATCAATTATAAAATCTTCTTCTTCATTAAATTGATTTATTTCTTCTTCTGTACAAATATATTCACATGAATGGCATTTATATCCTTCTGGTTCTGGATATATTATTCCTCCACAAGAACACTTAAATGCTCTCCATGGATCTATTGGTCCACTACATAATGGACAATCACAAATAAATCCATAATTGTCTTGAAAATATTGAATTCTTTTTGGACGAATAGAAGGGAATGTATATGAAATTGTAATTTCAGTTCCTTTTGGAATGTCTACTAATGCTGTCCAATACATAACATCTCCAACAGTATGCCATCCAACATTTTCTTTACAAGAATGATTTGCAAGACTACAAGCAATAAACACAGCATACCCATCAATAAAGTCTAATGAAAATGAATTGGTATGAATACCATTAACAATACGTTTAATGTCTTCAAATTCAACAGGATTTAATAATGTTTTATCTTCTTTAAAATCTTCATAAATAAATTTAACATGTTCACTAAATTCTTCATCTCGTTGATGATTCTGTGCTAATTCTGTTGCAAATTTAACACTACAAAATGCAGTATTATCATAAATACTTCTTACCATATAATAAGTTGAATCTTTATTTGATTCACTATCTTCTTCTCCTTCAAAAAAAATTGTTGCTTGTTCTTTAAAAACAAGTTCTCCAGCATGAATATCTTCTACTGCAACAAGTCCTCTACCTTTACCAGGAAGTTCTTTTATCTCAAATTTCTTTTCTGGAAATTCTTTTTTGTAAACTTCTTCATAAGAATTATAATGAGAATTTTGTGAACGATCAATAGGGTCTTTTCTTGAAGGTATTTTGACGTTGTAATTATTATCAAATTTATTTCTTAAAGAAGGATATTGTTTAATAAATTTAAATGATTGCATCTTCTTTTATATACTTGTTATCAAAAACAAAATATTAATAGTTCTTGATTTTATTGTTTTTTAAATTTTATTTCTGTTATTAAATTATTTTTGTTTTTCAATACCAGTTTTGTATTTTATTAAGAAATAATAACATTATTAGAATAAATAAAAAGACAAAAACGAAAATAAAATATATCAATTAATCATAAGAATATCTAAATAAACATCTCAAAAAATTTTATAAACCAACATAAAAAATTTTTATAATAAAGAATAAAATCTTAAATTAATTTAAAAAAGAAAATAAAAATAACTAAATTTAAAATAACAAATTGTTATAATACACTTCATTTAAATTTATTGTTTCATTAGTTCAATAGCATCAAATTGTTTCAACATTTTTTCTAATGTTTCTTTATTTTTGTCTAATATTTGAAGGACTTGACGAACATTAGAAATAGTAACATCACAATTAGTTGTAATTATTTTTTCAATTGACCCATTAAGTCTTAAACATAATTAATATAACATTATTAATAATTAAAATAAATAATATTAAACAAACACATTATAATATCTTAATACAAAGAAAATAGTAACTACTGCAATAGTATTTGGTTTTTTTCCTTCTAAAACAGATTGAATAGGTTTTGAAATTTTTAATGCTTGATTAAGGTAATTATTAAAATTATTAGAAATACAATATTTATTAATTAGACTATTAAGTAAATTATTCCCATTTCCTCCTGTTTTTATTTCTGGAATAAGTTTTTCAAGTAATTTATAACCAAAAAGAATTTCTTGTTCAGTATGATTAATACTTTTAGAAATTTCTTTGATTGTTAATCCATTATTTTCTATTTTACAAATATAATATACTATTCCAAGTAATACTTTTTCTAATTTTTTTCCTTTTACTTTAATTGTTGTTCCATTTATTTGTTGATAAATTTCTTTTCCTTGTTTTAATTGAATTTCATTTAAATTTATTAATTGAAAATAATGTTCTAATGTATTTATTACTTCATTTTTTTTCTTTTGTTTTACTTTACTAATTTATTACTTCTCCTAATTAGTCTTTATCTAAAAAAAGATACACCCAAACTCTTCTTCAGGAAGGTATTCTATCGCTGATTTATCTAAAATAATTCCACAGTTTTTACAAAAAATAACACCATTTGAATTTACTAAAATTTAAACTTATTTCTTTCTTATGTAAATAAAATAGTAAAACAAACTTAAAGGCTCACATAACTCTCCAATTTTTTCTTCACATAATGGTATTTTTCTTTTAAAATTCATTGTAGTCTTATCTTAATCTTTATGAGATGATTGATTTAAATATCAAACTCCGCCACGTGGATAAAATTTAAATAAAAAATGCTTTTTCATTCATTATTTGTTAAGTTTTATCTTATCAAAGAAGATAAGTTTTATTTTTTGATATTAGTTTTATTGTATAATGTGGTTTCAATGTATTTATCACAATAATAGAAATGTGTTTTTTATTTTTTAATGAAAGAACTGAAAAAAAGAAATAAAATTAGTTTTAAATTGAATTAAATAAAATAATAATAGTAAAAATAATAATAATGTATAATACGACAGGCATGACAGTCTTTTAAAGACAACAAAGTCAAAGTTGATTTAACTAATAAAAAGTAATGTTTGTTTTCTTCTTCTTGATAAGTGTTGTAATTAGTATTACACCATTACCTGGAGGAGAAAGAGATATTAATAACCTTGATCAATATAATAATAAATGTCGTATGCATAATGTTCCTGGGTGTACTGCACCAGCAATTAATATGAAATCAGATGGAACATTATATCTCACTGATGCATACCCAGCACCTAAAAATATGATTGAAATTTGTATTTCTGAACATCCAGAATTTGATCCAAATGTTACTCTTGGACATAAAACTTGTTGTGATGAACATTCTGTTTTAGATTTAAAAGAACAAAGTACTCTTCTTGATGGTTCATTTGGTAAATGTCCTGCATGTTATTTAAATCAAATGAATTTATGGTGTGGATTTGCATGTGATCCAAATTCAGCAAGATGGACTGAAATTGATGATTTTAAACATGATAATACTTGTAATGAACCAGATGGAATTGATGTCCCAAGTTTATATTATTATCTTCATCCATTATATGCACAACAAATTTATGATTCTTGTAAAGATACTGAATTATCTGGTGGTTTTGCAGTTAGGTCTTTATATCCAACATATAAAGAATTTTTCCAAATGATTTCTGACGTTAACCCAGTTATGCCACTTCATTTTGTTTATGATGAAACAGGATATAATGGAAGTAAATATACTGAAATGCATAAATGTAGTGATATGTGTTCATGTCAATCTTGTCATGAGATGTGTACAGAATTTATTGAAGATGAACCTACTTTTAAAGATTATCCATTCTTAGATGGTACTTTAAATATTATTACTATTATTTCTATCCATTTATTTATGTTATTTATTATGGTTACTATTACTGTTTGTGGTGGAATTCTTTCTTATAAAACATTTACTCAAATGAAAAAATCTAATCCAACACTTCTTTATATTAGTTATATCTCTCTTGGAGCTGTTACATTATTAGGAATTGGATTTATTATTATGGGAATAATTGTTGTTGGTTTTCCAATGGAAGGAGTAATAACATCAATGCCATGGGGAGATGGAAATTTATTAGGAATGATTTTATTATATATTGGATTTGGTGTATATGTTATTGGATATAGTGTTTATGATTTATATTATTTTGTTATTTATACTCTTTATAATAAAAAAGAATCAGAAGATATTATAGATTCAGCAAAAGTATCTATTCTTGGACAAGAAGAAAGTTGTGAAGAAGATCCTAACAAAGTTGATTTAACAGATAATTTCTTATCTAAAGCTATGTCTTGGTATACTAAATTCTTATGGAAATTTAAGTGGATTATATTAACTGTCGTAATATTATGTTGTATTGTTTTATGTGTTGGAGTTTTTAAAATTGTTTTTATTACAGATTCATTAGGACTTTGGGTACCAAAGAATTGTCAGACAATGAAAGATAAGAATTATTATGATGAGGCATTTGGTCCTTTCTTTAGAATTAATCAATTTATGTTATCTGATAAATTACATCCAGGTAATCAAGTATTAACACAACCATTAATTGTTCAATTACAACAAATGATAGATGAAATTCGAGCTATCCATGTAGAATGGACAGATAAAGAAACTGGAATAACAAAAGATATTACAATGGATGATATGTGTTACAAACCTGTTTTTGGAAAAGGATGTATTATTACATCAGTTACTGGGTATTGGCAACATGATATTAACAAAATAATGAATACGGAAAATGTTACTCAATATATTCAAAACTGTCTTGGTAATCCATTGGCTACTGGATGTGCTGATGATATTGGTTCACCTGTAGATCCACATAACTCTCTTGGTAATTATACCGTTGGTGATAATAACGATCCAATGAAGGCAACAATTCTCCAAGCTACATTTATGTTTAATCAACCAAATAAAACTGCTATAGAGTGGGCAGAATTATGGGAAGAAAAATATTTAGAAATTTTAGATAGAGACTATTCATTAGTAAAAGTAGCATATCAAGCACAACGTTCTGTAGATGATGAAATTAATAGAGAAACATTTACAGATGTATTAACAGTTCTTTGTTCATATATGGTTATGTTTATTTATATTTCTTTGTCATTAGGAAATTCATTCTATCATTTTAATTACAAAACTGTTTTTGTTAAGTCTAGAATTTTATTAGGTATTCTTGGTATCGTTATTGTCTTATTCTCAGTATTTACCTCTGCTGGATTCTTCTCTTGGATTAATGTAGAAGCAACATTAATTATTACTGAAGTTATTCCATTCTTAGTTTTAGCAATTGGAGTAGATAACATTTTCATTCTTACAAATACTATTGATGAACAACCTATGTACGATAAAGATGGTCAGTATGTTCCAGTAGAAAAACGACTTGAACATTCTTTAATGCATGTTGGACCTTCAATGATGTTAGCTTCAATATCAGAATCATTAGCTTTCTTCCTTGGTTATTTAACAAGTATGCCAGCAGTTCAATCATTTTCACTATATGCTGGTCTTGCTATTTTCATTGACTTTATATTACAAATAACTGTATATGCAGTGTTATTATGTTATGATGTTAAGAGACAAGAGAGTCATGGATTAGATTTTATTCCTTGGTTACAAGTTCATGATAACTCTTTAGATGAACAACATGACTTTGAAAGAGGATCTCTTATTAAACATCTCTTTAAATATGTTGCTACATTCTTGTCATATTATCCAGTAAAGATTATTGGTTTATTCTTCTTTATTGCATTCTTTATCTTCTCTTTGAATTATGTTCCAAAAACTATGCTTGGATTACCTCAAGAAACTGCTCTTCCACAAGACTCTTATATTCAAGATTACTTTGTTGCTTTAACTTATTTAGAAATTGGTCCACCAGTATACATTGTTGTAAGGGATGGTGCAACGTATTTGAATGAAACAACTCAAAGTGCACTTTGTGCATCAGATAATTTTGGATGTGATGCTTTATCTATTCCAAATTATTATGATGCTGCAAGAACAATTGATGGAACTACATTTGATTGGATTGATGATTATTTCTCTTGGGCTGCTCAAAAAGATTGTTGTAGATTAGATAAAGATGGTAATATTTGTCCATATGATATGCCTAATTATACTGAATGTACTCCTTGTTTCACTAACTTCACTGATAAAAAACGTCCTGTTCCAGAAGATTTCTATAAGTATATCAATAGATTTTTGACTGCATCTATCAATGAAACATTATGTTCTGTTAATGGTCAAGCTTATTATCCAGATGTTGTTTGGAATCATATCAATGGAACTAAAGAAACAGATTATTCTTATGTTAATGTATCTCGTTTAAGATTATATCATACAGTTTTAGTTACTCAAGATGATTTTATTGATGCTATGGTTCAAGCTTATAATATTTCTGATTATATGAATTCTATTTTTGATGTTAAGACATTCCCATATGCTTATCATTATGTGTATTTCCAACAATACTTTAATATTGTTGATCTTTGTGTTATGGATGTATGTTTGGCATTGGCAGCAGTTTTCATTGTAGTTATGTTATTAATGTTTGATCCAATTGTAGCCATAATGATAGTATTGTGTGTATTAATGTGTGTAATAGATTTAATTGGAATAATGTATCTTTGGGGAGTAGAATTAAATGCTGTTTCATGTGTTAACTTAGTTATGTCTATTGGTATAACCATTGAGTTTTGTGTCCATATTGCACATGCTTTCTTATCTTCACCAAAGAAGACATTAAATGATAAAATGAAAGATGCTGTAATGAATATGGGTAATAACGTTTTTGTAGGTATTACTTTAACTAAATTCCTTGGGGTTATTGTTCTTTCATTATCTTCAGGATTAATTTTTGTCATTTATTACTTCAGAATGTACTTCATGATGTTAATCTTCGGAGCTTCTCATGGACTTTTCTTCCTCCCTATTCTTCTTTCTCTTATTCCTTCTGTTTCACTTAGTCATATAACTGATCCTTTCAAAAAGATGTTTGGTAGATGTAATAAAAAGAAGAGTACAAAAGGAGAATATCAAAACTTTGAATGAGTTCAAAGTTGAGTTGTTCTAAAAGAGTATTTTTGATATTAGTTATTGTTTTTATATTCTTTTTTCTGTTCTTTAGTAATGTTAGACTCAATTTTATAACTAACAAAATACATTGAAATAAAAAAAACTTAAACAAATAATTTAATTGAAATTGATTATGATAAATTCAATATTTAAAATACTAAAATAATCTAAGAATTAAACTTACTCAAATATCTTATCAATTTATTTGATTAATATTTCTCTAATATTTTTTATTGAATTTAATAATTGGGGAGGGGGTAAATGAAAATTTTTATTATTTTGAGTTGTTAATTATCTGATTTGTATAAACAAATTCTTTTGATTTATTATCTAAAAGGATTAAATAACATGAAATGAATGAGTAATTGTTTTTTTTTGAAATTCTTAATATGTGAAACAACGGCTTAAAACTTCCCTCATTACTTAATCAATAATTCTTTATTTGATTTGGTAGTGCAATTTATTTTTGTAATAATCCATAATAATTAAAAAAATCTTGGATGATTAGCTCATCATTTCAAAGATCTTTTTTAATTTCTTCTTCTAATTACAATACCCTTTATTTTTATTTTCTTTTCAATAAAATTTATTTAGAACAATATTTAAATACCCAAATTATAATTAAGTCTACATAAAAAAGCATTTTTCTCCTTCCGTTTTCATATTATAAAAATAAATATTCTTTAATTCATTTAAGTCAGTTATGTCAATAAAAATTGATTTAAAAATATTTATTTATTAAAAATTCTATTAAAAAAAGTTTTAAATATTCTCAAAAATTACTTTAAAAACATTTTACAGAATAAAATGAAACTTTAATATTATTTTAATATTCGGAAGTTAAAGAAAAATTTTTCATTTTTCTGTTTTTTTATTTCCTTCTGTTTGAAATTACTTTTATTTGATTGGTTATTTTATTTAAGGAAATTTAAAAAAATAATAAGAATAGGAAAAAAAGGAATTACAAAAAAAAAAATACCCAATCAGATTCCGTTTCAATTATTTTCTACTCGTTATTTTTCATTCCACAAAAACAAAATTCAAAATAAAAAGAAAGAAAATCGTTAATTAGTAAAATATAAAACTATTTTATTCTTTGAAGAATAATCTGCCGTGCGAAAAAAATTGCAAATGTTTTTCCTGTTTTTAGATTTTTATGAAAAACAAACTATTGAAATTTCTAAACTTCTAAACTATTTAAACCCAGAACTTTTCTTTTTAAATTGGTGAAATTTATGCAAACACGGAGAATGACATGTGTCATTGGTCAATCTAAAGACATTCAATGTATTCCAGACATGTATATTGTTGGGATAGACAGTGATACTACTGCAGATGATGAAATCTTTTCTATTATTAACCATTGTTCTCCTGTCCATGAATTTGTTACTGTAGATGAAAATAATGAATTTATTGTTTCAAAACTACCAAGTGTCAGTACACCTATCCCTGAAAGAAGTATTAAACCACTTCCAAAAAATATTACTTCTCACTCTAATTAATCCTTCTGTAGTTTTGTCAATGAGCTTTTTGAAGAATGTAAAAAATTAAAGTATTTAAACAAATTCTGATTGAAATTTTGCATTTGTAATAAATAAACGTTAATTAAAGTATTAACTTCTCTTTATGTTTTATTTCTATTATTTATATTACAAAATGTAATAAATATGAATTATTTCATTTTCTTTTTTGAAGAAAAAAGTTAATTAAAAACTTAATTTTTATCTTATTTATAACGTTATTCGTTCTGTTTAATTCTTCCTTTTTTATGGATTGGTTTTTATTAACTGATATATTATGTTTATGTGTAATATGAGTATTAAGCGATTAATTAAGTATTAATAGAAGTAGTTTCTATTCTTCTTGAATCGGGAGAGACTAATCAAATCTCTGAGTTCTTCTTCTAGTATTTTTACAGAATATGTTTTGTTGTGATAAAATCAATATTCAATGACATCCATCATGTTTTTAATTACAAGGTTTTTTAGCTTCTTTAACGATGTTAATTTCAATTTTTAATTCTTTGATTAATTTAGTACTTTCTTTATTTATTAATCCATTAATTGAAATTACTACTGGATTTATTCTGACATCTTTTAATTTTTCTATTTTCATTAGCCTATTCTTTAATTCTTTATACTTAATTCTTTTCTTCAAATACACTCAATTAATATTGTAATATTCAACATTAGTCATATCAAATATTAGACCAGTTTTATTCTTTTTATCTAATACATACATATCTGGTATTTTATTATATTATCATTCACTTTTATGCATTATTTGTTTGTTCAATATCATAGTGATGTCTTTATATTGGAACACTATTTCATATGGGGGTTTTTATTGATTATTTCATGTATATTTTCTTATTAATCAATATGATAATGCCAATATTGTCATGTTTCTCCATTTGTGATTATTATGATAAATACAAGATAGTAGAATATGTTCTACTGTAGCTATCTTGTCTTTACAAAGTGTTGAGTATTTCATTCTTTCATTTTTCATTATTTTTGATTTTCTATACCCACAAAATATTGCACCATCATTCATTTTAGTTAATTGGAGAAATGCATTTTTCTTAATATTGAATGACTTCCATACTTTCATTGTAGTATTTTTATCTACTCCTTTTGACTCAAACTATCTTCTAAAATATCCACTAATTTGATGACACTTCCATTTTTTGATGTATTTGCCAGTCAATACTTTCATTGTGGATTATTCTCATTTCTTCACTACTTTCTGTCATTATTCTCAAATCATCCATATATAATGTGTGATTTGCTTTTGGGAATTTCTCTTCGATGATTTGAGAAATCACATTCATCTGAATGATGAAGAGTAGAGGGGATAAGGAATCACCTTGTAAAATTCATCTATTTAATTTAATACTACCTAGATATTCATTAAATTTATAGCCGATGAATATCTTCCATCTAGTCATCATACTTTCAATAATGTCAATGATGACAAACTCATAATTAAAATATTTTAATGATTCAATTACCCATTTGTGGTTTATTGTGTCATATGCTTTCTTAATGTCATAATATGACTCCACATATTTTGTGTATTTTTCTTCTTTCTGCTTTAATATACAACTATTAATTATTCCTTCTTTAGCAGCTAAAGATTGTAACTTACATCTCAATTGGTTATTACTGATTTTCAATGATTCACAATTCATGTTAAGTCTTCTGTGAATCTTTTCTTTTAATATGGAGGTAAATACTTTCATAATTACATTTGTACAACTGATATGACGATAATTAGTGACATCATTCATATCACTTTGTGGATTAATAAAGTTCTTCCACTTACCATATCTAATGGGATGTTTTCAGGGAAGTTCAACCATTCATTGAAGATATTGAGAATGATTTCTCATGATAATGACATCCTTTTCCAATAATAACCATATATAGTGTCTATTCATGGTACTTTCCAGTTACTTATTCTCATTATACTTAAATTTAATTCATTTAATGTTATAATGACATTATCATAATTGAAATATCTTTCATTCAATGAGGTGATTGGTTTTATTTTCCATTTCTCTTTATTTAATATCACATGTGTTTCATATAACGATTTCTAATATTCTAAAGTAATATCGTTATTTGGGTATATTTCATTATTTGTTTCTTCCTTATTCTAATTTTCTTGTTAGAATCAAACATGATTTTATTTGTATTGATTCTGATTATTTCATCTTTATTAAATTTAATTCTTTCTTTGATCATTCTCATCATATATTTTATGTATTTTATTCTTTCTAGTGCTTTAACTTTTATTCCTTCTTCATCATATTCTTTTAATTTCATGTTGCACTTTATTCTGTACAATTCCTTCCCTTGACCAAATCTTCTAGTCTATTAATTTTCTTTAGGATTTCTTTTATTTCATCAAATTTATCTCCTATTATTTTATTTTGGAGATAGAGGTGAATATTGAAATCCTCTTCATATCATCTTGCAGTTCCTGCATTCTGCTTCCTGACCATATCCATCTATTATTATTTTCATTTATTAATTGGTCAGCTTCTTTTCTTTGAAAGTAGTAATTAATATTGATACATTTTCTACTTTCATTTCTTTTACTTTATTGATGAGAGTGTTAAGATATTCTTCATCAATTTCAGTAGAGTTATTCTTTAATATGATGTTTTTTATTATTGAATTACACTCTACTCTTCCTTCTATTATATCATTTACTTTTACTTTAATGTACCGTTTAATGTTTTCTTTTATTTTATGTGACATTTTAATATATTTAATATATTCTTTTTCATTATTGACATTGATGTTTATCATTTTTATTATACTTTCTATTTGTTCCCATCTTAATTTCTTATATAATTTCTTATTCAACCAATTAATTGCAAAACAATACATCAATTAAAATTCTATTTCTTTCTTTTGTTGTATTTCTTGTCTGATTATCATCTCTTGTTTTTTGACAATCAGTGCTTTGCTTTTCTCTTCGATCTCCACTACTGTCTTTTTCATAGGAGTAGTTTCGTTCATCTCCATCGTTCCTGATGATGTTTTCCTCAATACTGGTTGTGTATTTATCACAAGTGTCATCGTTTTCTTCTTCTCTAGTTCCTTCTGTGAGATAAAATTTTCAATATCATCTTGTTGTTTTGATATTATTTGTTTTTGTGCTTCATTTTCTTTTTGTGTGTTGTCTAATTCTTCTCTTGTTATTTCTGCAATTTCTTGGTTTTTAATTGCAATTTCTTGATATTCAGAGATTTGTTTTTCTTTATCTCTTATTTCTTTCTTTAATTCTTTAGTATTTTCCTCTATCATTTCAATTTTCTTCTCTAGTGTGTTTGCATTTTGTTCTAGCATTTTGTTTCTCTTTTTCAACTTTTCAATTTCTTCTTTCATTTCTTCATTTTCTTTTTCAATCTTCTTTTTATTAGCTTGGATACTTCGGATTTTTTCTTCTTTGTTATTTACTTCTGTGATTTTCTTTCCTTCTATCTCATTTATTTTTCCTTGTTGTTTTAAGTTTTTTTCTTCTAATCTTTCATTTTCTTTCTTCATTTCTTCATAATTCGTTTGAATCTTTTTAATTTGTGTTTTCATTTCTGTAATTTCTTCTTCAAATTCTTTCCTAACTATTTCTTTTGCTTTTTTCATCATTTCTTCTGAGATGGCTTGTTCTTCTTCCATTCTTTTCATACTTAATTCTTTAAGTTTTCCTTGTAATTCAGTAATTTGATTTTTCAGAGTAAGTATTTCTTCTTTATCTTTTTCTTCTTCTATCTTTTCTTCTTTATTTTTTGTTTCTTCTTGTATTTTCATTATACTTTCTTTGTTATTTATTATTCTTGCAATTTTACATCTATCATTCATTTCTTTGATTGGTTTTTGTTTTTAATTTCTGCTTCTATAGCCTTAATGTCTTTTTCCTCCCAATCTTTTGTTTTTTCTTTAAACTCTTCTTTAGTTTTTTCAATTATCTTTTTCTTTTTAATTGAATATACTTCTTGGAGGATATCATACCATTTTTTCTTCTTACCTTCATATTTTTTAAGTATTTCTTCGTATTCTCCTTCTTTCCATTCACTTGTTAATTTTTATTCTTTCTTGTATCTCTTTTATTGTTAGCCATTTGTATTTGTTATTTGTATAATCTTTATTATTATTGTATTTACCTTGTTTTTTATTTGTTTTTATTTGTATTTTTTTTCTTCTAATCACTTTTTCCTTGGTGTATCGTTTACCTTTATTATTATAATTGTTATGCCATTTATTGCTATTGACATTTCTTTTTTTATTGTGTGACCTTGGATTTTTATGTCTTGTTTGCTTTTCTTTACAAGACTCTAAGGCTTTACACAATAGCCATGGCATTAAAATTTGTTGTATTTCCTGCATTGGAAAAGGATTTCATCAATGGATTAATAAAAAAAAAGAAATCAATTATGATTAACCTTATTTTTAGGTTTTTCATCATGTTGAGAAGTGAGTGAATCAGTTTCTTCAACACGCTTTATTTCTATTCAAATAAAGTTTTTCAGGCATGCTCGACTTAAATGGTTCCTCAATTAAGTTGCTGCCTGACTTTTATTTTGATTTTAATGAGTAATATAATATTTCTCATTCTCTATATTGTTGTTTTAAGGAGAGTATATACATAACATAATGATTATGGTTCATCTCCTTTTACCTTCGACACCCCTTAAAGAAACCCTATTCCTTGATAATATCCTTATGTTTAATTTTTGTGCAACAATATCAATTATATATGCGTCTTCTTTAATAAATGATAATTCTTAATACATAATACCTCCTTAGTAAATAATAATCCTTATAATTAATAATGAATAACAATACACCTCAATGAATAACAATACACCTCAATGAATAACAATACACGTTAATGAATAACAATACACGTTAATGAATAATAATCTTTTATAATAATCACTTCTAATAAATATTAATAATAATAAACAGTTAGTTTTGAATAGATATTATCTCACCAAAGGCACGTCATGACCAGACGATAACTGGGAGATTCGAAGCATGGGATTATTTTAGGGTTTCATGTGGTGTCTCTGACGTGCCATCTTCGAATCGTAATTTCAATTAATGGATTAATAAATAAAGAAAGTACTAAATTAATCAAAGAATTAAAAATTGAAATTAACATCGTTAAAGAAGCTAAAAAACCTTGTAATTAAAAACATAATTGATGTCATTGAATATTGCTTTTATCTCAATTAAACATACTCCGTAGAAATACTAGAAGAAGAACTCAGAGATTTGATTAGTCTTTCCTGAGCCAAGAAGAATAGAAACTACTTCTATTAATACTTAATTAATTGATTTATTAAATTTTTATGTTGTATTTTTATTTCTTTGTTATTTATAATTTGTTATTTATTTTAAATTACATTCTTTTGAATCATTTAAGTATGGAAATTAAATAGAAGAAGATGAAAAAAGGTTAAAGTCAAAAAAGAAAATGAATAAATAATGTCAATGAGATAAAGTATAATAAATAATAAAATGAATGAAATGGTTTTTATGTTTATTTATTAAATGTCAATACCAAATAATGAATAATATCATTTCATTCTTTTATAGAAGTGAAGAAATATGATAGAATGTAAAATGAAAATAATATTTAAAGAATATCATTCATTTTTAATATAATAACAATATCATAAAATACATTTAACAAATTTAATGTTATTTATTTGGTTGTAATTCAGAATCGCACCATAAATATTAACATAGTCATAAGACTTGAATTATCAGTTATTATCTGGCTATGGTGTTAGTGTTTGATAGAAAATTTCTTATTCAATACTTCAAGAATATTATTGGACATTTATTATAATAGAAGAACGTGTATTTGTAAAGATAATAGTATTTTTACTTGTTCTGATGCAAGTATATGTGTTAATATAGATACTATCAAATAAAATATATGGATATACATTTTGATGATGAATGAAATTAGACATAATAAACATAGTATTAATGGTATATTCATCATAAAATAAGAAAGTAAAGAATGAGAAGTTTTAATATACATGAAATTCAAATAAAGAAGAAACAGTTACTTAAATGAAGAATATTTAAGTTAGGTGTTTGAAAAGATTTTGACTTAATGTAAATAAAAGAATGAAAAATAGAAATTTACATGTCTTAACAACAAAGAGATAAAGAAGAAGTGAATAGTGGATGAGTAAAAAGTCTTAAACTCAATGAAGGGGTTATTCTCCACCAAGCAAGGAATAATAGAAAATAAATTTAATAACACTTAATTAACTACTTTTTATTTTAATTAATTTTAATTAGATTAAAACAAATATTTGCCAGTACTACAACCAAATATTATCTGTTGATAAAAATTAAATCACATTCCAAATATGATAGACATTAATTAATATTCCATTGATGAGATCACATATTGTTATTTAAACATACATTATTCTTATAAATAGAAAGGAATAGAAAAAAATACAAAATTAAACCAAAGGAAATCAGAAAATCAAGCAGAAATTGGTAACACAATAAGTGGTTAATGAAGGGATAAAAACTAATGAAAAAATGAAATGAAGAATGAAACTAATGAAATCCAAGAAGACAAAACAATGAAAATAAAGAAAAGATAATAATTTATAATAATCATAAAGAATATTTTATTGAAGTACAACTTGTAAGAAATAACTCTAAGGAAATATTTTATAAAATTAATTTTAACTATAAAACTAGTAAATTGAATAATTTATTAATAATATTTAAACTAATGCAACTCACTTATTCTTTTTTCTTACCAATTAATAAAATTTTTTTTAATTTATAATATTAAACTATAATAATATTATGAAATATTACCAATTTTAACCATATTTCATTTTGGGATTTTTCTTCATTTTTTGATTGTTTCTAACTTTGAAATATTCAAGTCAACTCAATTCAACTGAAATTCTCTCATTCGTTTTAACTCAAGCATAATAATTAGAACAATAAAATATCTTCAAGTAATTGAAAACTTTTCTCATCAATACTTTTTGTGAGTAATACTAGGAAATCTGTGTGAGACAAAGGAACAAACGTTAATAGATGAAAAGAATAAAGTGTATTAATTTCAACTCAAATAAAAGGGGTTGAGTGGAGCATAAAGACTAGTTTTTGATGACATATAATATATTTAAACGAAGTTCTGAAAAAGATAAATTATTCAATGTTCGCATTTTTATTATTTATTGCATTCACTACTGCAACCAACGTTATTCCTGATATCGAACAAGAATTAAAAGACGTTGGCCTTTACGATTTGTTTTCAAAGAAAGAGTCTATTCATGAAAATGACATAGAAAATGAAGAAGATAAAAAAAGTAGTTCAAACAGTGAATTAGATGAAAATTCTAATAACCAACCAGATGAAAGCTCAAATAATAAACCAAATGAAAGTTCTGATAATAAACCAAATGAAAGTTCTGATAATAAACCAAATGAAAGTTCTGATAATAAACCAAGTGAAAGTTCTGATAATAAACCAAGTGAAAGTTCTGATAATAAACCAAGTGAAAGTTCTGATAATAAACCAAGTGAAAGTTCTGATAATAAACCAGATGAAAGCTCAAACAATAAACCAAATGAAAGCTCAAATAATAAACCAGATGAAAGCTCAAATAATAAACCAGATGAAAGCTCAAATAATAAACCAAATGAAAGTTCTGATAATAAACCAAATGAAAGTTCTGATAATAAACCAAATGAAAGCTCAAATAATAAACCAGATGAAAGCTCAAATAATAAACCAGATGAAAGCTCAAATAATAAACCAGGAAGTAGTTCAGATAATTATGATAATCTTGATGCTGCATCAAGTCCATTCATTGTTCTCTTTGCTATTATTGTGGTTATCTTATTCTAAATTAATTTATTTGAATTTAGTCTCTTTTTTATTAATACTATTTATAAATATTTTAAGACTATTATAGAAATAAGGCTGTTTGTTAGAACAAATATTTTTATCATTATTTATATTTGTTGTTCGTTATAAAAATAATATTTAATCAAACAAAATCATAATATAATACATATATAAAGTCTATTCATAGTATATTTAATATATCACAATTCAGACTAATTTATATTACATATAATCTATTTTATTTTTATGAAGTTTAATAATTAAACTTCTTGTACATAATATAAAACTATGAAAATAAAAATTACTATATTTAATAAGCAAATTTTATTTCTATATATTCTTTTTGTCATTATAAATAAACTTTTTATAAACAAAGCTTATTGTTCTAAAAGTTTTGTTTTACTAAGCAAAGAAAAAACAAACAATAAAGAAAAGAAGTTTACTTTAAATAGTTGTTTTTTAATTAGAAAAAAAAGATAGTAATAAATCCTTTCATTTAATAATGAGTTGTTATTAGTAAATAATAAAACAAATACACGTACTCAAAAAATATAAAGTTCTTTGAAAAACAAGAGATACTGTAAATGAAATATTACTATTTATTCTCTTTAAT